AAATCTGAGGGAGGGTCCTTATGATTTTGATTAAATTTAGCTTTAAATCTTAGGGTATGTATCATCTCTCTCTTTATAAACACATCCCTCAGAGACCTAGCCTTTCTCTGAATGATGAGCAACTCTTTCTCCTACCAACCCCATCCCCAGCAGAAAACAATATCCTGTACCTGACTAATGGTCAGCAGGTCCAGACCATTGACAGGCTAAAGATAACATCTTGACCTATGTAATGTGTTGACTCCTGAGCCTTAATGCAGAACTGTTACTGGACAGGGGCCTTGCCCTGAGCAGGTCTGCCTAGGGCCAGCTGGTAGTGTGTGAGCTCTCAACTTCACAACAGGAGTCTGGGAGACTGTGAGGATCCATTTAAGGCTGGGGACAGAAAAACAAGGAAAGGTTTAGCATAGAAGAAGCAATACGAGAGCGGAGGCTGAGCTGGGAAGTCAGATAAGAGGGAGCTTTGGGGACAGGTTCAGGGGATTAGCCTGAGACAAGCTGCCAGCTGTCCATTGCCTCGGATTTTAGGAGATGAGTGCTTATAGAGAAAGAAGTGGGAGAAGGGTAAGGAAATGGCGCAGGCTGCTTTCCTGAGGGAGAACGCACAGGCCAGGTCTTTTGTCTTGAAGATTTTATCTCTTTTTGCAGGCAGGAATCTTAGGGGAGGACTTAGAGGAGGGTGTCAGTAGATGACTCATCAGTTCTACAGATGTGCCCTTTCTAGGTCATGGTTTCCACTGATTGGTCAGTAACAGGACAGGGGGCCTTAGGCATTTCAGTTGGTCCTGGTGTTGCCCACCTGGTTTTGCAGCTTTTCTTTGCCTGGAGCTGAAAACTTCAACTGAGGCCTAGATGTTATCTACAGGGAAGAACTGGCCAGGGGAGGAGAGGTTACTTTGGGGGTGAGGTCCTTGTTTCCCAGTTTTTTCCCTTTGCCAGGCACTGGGGGGCCTTAAGGCCTAGTGACAATCTGAATCTGGCTATAAATTGCTCGGCCATCAGCTATTTGTCTCAGTTTCCCTATTCTACTTGCTAAGAAATTTTCCTAACTTCTTACTATCCTGTCTCAGAGTGATCCCCTGGCTATTTTTTCATGAGAGGGGACAGAGGGACTGGGATAAAAAACCTAAGAATTTTTCTCAAGATCTGAAGACATGATTGTTACCCTTACCTTATCTCTGACTAATCAGCTCCCAGCATGACCTCAAACCCCTTAACTCCCGTGGTGTCTTGTGATTTTTGCCCTATATAATCTATAACCTATATGCCATCCATCGGGGAGTTTAGGCTTTGGAGCTTCTAGTTCTCCCGGATGGTACCCTTCATAATAAAACAGCCAGTACTTCATCACTGCAAATCTGTTTTCAGTTGTCAATGTAAAAAACATTCAAATCTGCAGAGGATTTTTGTGAGTTTATTTAAGTCAAACTGAAAATAATCCTCAGGTAGCAAAATCTCAATGGATTGAGAAATGATCCAGAGAATGGCAGTTCAGCACGTTACTTTATACATTAAAGTCAAAAGATGAGGAGTAAGGTGGGTTACAGGAAATCCATTGGTCAAAATTAGGGAGGTGGGAGAAAGCAAAGCACTGGAGCGGACCTCTGGGATTGGATAAAAAGTAAAATAGTAGTCACTTTTACCCAGGTGTGTACAGGACAGTTAATAGTCCACAATTAACATGATAACAATAACAATGAGGGTGATACCTAGTCTCACCCTTAAGCGGTGCCTGTGCTGTGAATGGTGCGGAAAAAGGAAACTTGACATTCCAAAGGTCTGTTATCATAGATGCAAAAAAAATGAAAGACTCAGTTAAGATTGACCTTTGCTAGGCAAAAATACCAGCCTAGGACGTGACTAGCTGCCATGACTTGTTTTTAGTTAGAAAGTTCCAATTTCGAACCATCCTGTGTGGTTACGTTAGGTCTCTGAGTTTGTAAGGCTGCCACCAGGCCTCTCCTGAGTGTGTCAGGTTTTGCATGTGGCCTCTTTTTTCCCAGTGTTTGGCTCAGCTAGCTTCAGTACGATGAGCTCTTTCTGTTCTATAACAATAATGTGTATAGTGTATTAGAAACACATTGAAGAGTACAGAGATGACAGAGTCTTTGTAAGAATGGAGAAGAGGTGGGTTAGGAAAAGCTTCGTGAGAAAGATATGCCTCTGAGTTGACAAATAAAGCAGAGTAATAAAAGCAGGCAGAAGGGGCAAATATTTATCAATTTTTTCCCCATGGATTTCATATATGGAGGACACTGTTTAACAAAAAGGGAAATCTGTTTTTATTAAGCAATAAACATTAGATCAAGAACATCTCTAATTGCCAAACAGCATAGGATGATTACTGCTCTGTTACCATTGTTTCAACCAATAGCAAAGGTATGTCATTTGATGTTTTTCTTTTGAAGCCTTCTCTTGACAAAAGTGTGGGTTTTTTTTATGATTTTTGGAATACTGATACAGCTACAGAACTGTCTCCTCATTGCTTTCAAAGACAGCCCTTCCCATCTTGGGAAAAACAGTACTAACTACTTGCACTAATTAATATGGCCTAGAGAAAATTATATTGAAAAGAAACTCAATAATGAGAGTTCCTGCATAACAAGGCAGTAGCTCTATCTCCTGGGGAAGACTTGCAGTTTTGTTTCCTTGTAAGGCAACAGAAACAGATCCTGGGCCCCTTTTAAAGAACTCCTGTAAGAATATAGTAATAACAATCAACATTTGTTTAGCATTCTGTCATTTTACAAAAGGGTTTCACAAAGATATCTGATTATGGGTTGTTTGAGTCATAAACAAATACTGTTTTAACATTTCAGGCAAGTTGTCTTTTTAATTTTTATTTATTTTTCATCTTTATTGTGATGTGATTTTAATTAGCATGATATCTTTCCAGCTGTAATGAGATAGGTGACATGTAACCTTGTGCTGATTTGATGCACATGTCCTATAAAATGATTGCCATCCCTAGCTTTAGTTAACATCTCCATCACCTTACATAGTTATCATTTCTTTTTTGTGGTGAGAACATTTAAGATCTATTCTCTTCCCAATTTTCAAGTATATAATACAGTTTCATTAACTATAATCAACATGCTATACATTAGATTTCCTGAACTTATTCATTTTATAACTGGAAGTTTGTACCCTTTGATCAACATCTCTCCATTTCCCCCACCTGCTCAAGAAAGTTTTTAAGTCTTTTAGCTTCAGTTTCCTTATTTTTAAAGTGGTGGCACTGACAGCCACATGATTATTATGAGAAGTAAATGAGGTTTTGTTTATGAAGTAACAAGGACAGTGCCTGACACTTATGTTCACAGTAAGAGCTAGACAGCCTGTTTCTCCCCAGGGGGAAGCTGAACTTCTAAAACAGTGTGTTTTATTCTACTATTCTTCAATTGCTTCATTCCTCTCAATTCATGACAAGAACCAAACCATTTTTTAGGCCCTCCCCACCTCTCATCTATTGAGATTATGGCTCTGGCATGGGTACTTAGGGGTGTAATTTGAGGAGCACTAGCTTGTCTCAGAATTTGAACTTTCTCCAGTGGTGATACTCCTTGGGCTCTCTGCTCTTTCTATGGCCCTTTAGGTAGCACATGGTTTGAACAGGGTGTTACCTATAAATAGTATGTTCTCTTACTCCAGGAAGAATTTTAGGCAGTTTTCAGGATTTGATTACGTGTGAAACAGGAAAGTCATATATCAAAAAGAGATGACAGACTATTAGAAAAATAACTTGGTGAAATATAACTGGGATTTGATATGGAGCATTGAAGCTTTAAATTGAATCAGTCATTAATCTGTTCATGAAATTAATTGATATAACTACATTGCTTTTGGTAAAGAAAGTATGATTTTTATGAAATTTTAGTTTCAGTGATATATTATGGCATGTATTGTAAAATGCATTATGTTAAAAAAAAAAAGTTTGAAAGCCCTGAGATTAGGCTACTAATTGTTTACTTTTTCCACCACTTGTTAGTTGTCAATGTTGGGAAGTTCCCGATTTAACAAACATTTATTAAATGCTTACTTTTCATCAGACATTCTGCTATATGAATGTTTTTTTCTCTTCCCTTAGACTGATATTTTGCAGCGTAAATCAGGTACCTTGTGTCAGTCCTACACTCTTCTCACCCTTCACCCGGCCTCTGATACGAGTTTGAGAGGATCCTGGTTACTAAACACACTCTGCTACTAGGTAGTAAAATGCAAATTCCTAAATAGAGTGAATGTGAGCTTCCTAAAGCCCCTGAGAATTACGTAAGCTTTAACCCTTAATCCTCTGGGCTCATTTTATTCTTAATTTTCTTAAAAGCTTTGCATCAATGTGGGTTGGAATAAGGATGGCGGAATAAAGAAGGGGGAGGTGGAGGAAGGCTGTAGGTATTAGCTGCGCAGGGGGCGTTGGAGGGTGGGATGAGTTGCTGAAAGCACCGGCGGGAGAAGGAACTCTAGTACACAAAAGGGTATTTCCGGCCTTAACTACGTTACCAAGTCTCTTAAGAGTTGAACTTTTTTTGGAGGGTGGGCGAACGACCTGTCCAAAAGAACTAGGGGTGCGTGTGCGTGTAAGAGAAGGGAGACCAGGGTCCCCATATAAGTATGAGTATCGTTTTCCACATCTTTGTCCTTCCGAGCTGGGTAGGCTCGGCTACGGGACGCCTCTGTTTCCCAAGCCCAGGACATCCTGAACGGCAGCCGCCACAACAGGCTCGCCCCCAGACAAAGGGACCGGAGCAGCGGTGCAGCCTCGCGCAGCCCTGGGCCGCAGGGCCGGGTGAGCGGGCGCTCCGCCGCCGAGGGGGCAGCGCAGCCCCGGCGCGGCCCGGAGCCGCCGCGCCCGGAAGACCGGCTCCGGGGCGCAGACCCCGCCCGGCTGGCTCAGCGCCGGCCTCTGGGCTTCCACTCAGTCTTTGACCACCGCCCCCTCCCCCGTCCCGACCCGCCCCACCGGCGCTGCTGTAACCGCTGCCGCGGCCGCCGCCGCACCTTCTCGGGCGGGCGGCGAGCGCAGCGCGGCGGGCCTGGCGGCATGGCTGTGTCCTGGAGGAGCTGGCTGGCCAACGAAGGGGTTAAACACCTCTGCCTGGTAGGATGGCGGGCCAAACTGCCCCCGCGTTCGGTCTCCTGTGCAGCGATTTTGATTCATTCTCTGAGCGTGCGCGGGTGGGAGACTGGACGTGGAAGTTTTGCCTTTAGTTCGAACGTTCTCAACTAATAAAACTTTCCGCTGTTAATACCTGCAGACAATAATGATCCCACCCTTCCTCCAAATGCCTGAGAACTTTCCTACACACTGATGCGAGAGCGGATGTGGAGGGAGAAGGGATGACTTTAATGAATACAGCTTTTTCTTAACCCTTTAAACATCTTCCCTTCTTTGCTCTTTTATAGATTGCTTCTGCTTGATGTTGTATTTTAAAAATATTCAACGCTTGGGACATGGCGATGTCACTAATTTCTTAGTCCCATTTTGCACTGCAGGGGATGTCGGCAGATCATTCAGAAGACCTGTTGACGCCCCAAAAGGTTGCTCTTAGGCGCAGGGACTGAGAGAGGTCAGATTTGTTCTTCTTTGAGTGCTTTTCAGCTTGCTGGGTAATTGAGATTGCTTCCTTCAATTACTAATTGAGATTTCATTGAAAGTATTGTGTCCAAGGAATGTACTTAAGGTCTCCATTCATCAGGTAACGTTTATGTTTAATTTTTCTTTTCTCCTTTTGTACGATTTAGCTTATCTGGCTCTCCCTGAACGTTTTGCTTTTCTGGAAATCCTTCCTGCTGTATAACCAAGGGCCAGAGTATCACTACCTCCACCAGATGTTGGGGGTAAGTGGGAGTTGGGTGACTTGGTGGAATGCATTTAATGTGGGCAGACATTGCTACAATCCTTGGTCATTTCTTCCCTTCATTAAGAAAACATAGGTTGTGCTTTATGAAATATTTGTTATCCTCTCGAGTGGTCAAGTTTTCTTGATTTATCATTTGTTCTTGTCTGGGTTAAAATGATTGACACTTTTAAGAACTGAAGATACTGTCTGCTAGAGTGAAGTGGATGAAACTGTCAGGCCAGGCTAGTCGTGCCTGAGAAAATTTGCTACTTCTTGTCAGCTGCAAAGTGACCTGAAGGATCTGCTTTGCCAGGAAGGACCAAGTAATGGCAAGCTTTTAGTTTGACTGATCAAGACTTCATTCAGCCTGACTATAAACTTATCCAGAGGATATCTGCAGTGTTTCGTTTTACTGCCAGTTCTCACAAAATATGTGTCTGATGCAGTATTTATTAATTGACATTGAAAAGCAGTTAATTCTTAGTAGTTGTTTGAAATCTCTGCTTTCTATTGCAAAACAACTGTTTATTTAATGGTATATTTAAACTGATGATACTCTGGGTACTTAACAAATATTTTGTTGAAGCCAGGAAACTATTCTTCCCATTTTACACTTGCGGAAATACAGGCTAGGGAAGCTGAATGACTTGTTCAAGTACCATCGGATGGACAATGTTAGGGTTGCATTTGAATGCAGTGCTGTCTGGTCTTTTGTTTTTTTCTCACACTACAGAGATTTTCTAAACGTTCACTGGCCCATCTCAGATACTTATGCCATTGGTTAGTATTCTTATTCTTTATTAGTGCTGCCCAATAGAAATATGAGTCATAAGTAATTTAAAATTTCCCAGTAGTACATTAAAAAAGTAAGAAAAAGCCAGTGGCATTAACGTTAATACATTTTATTGAAAATAATATATCTAAACTATTATAATAGATTGACATATTCAACATATGGTCAATATTTAAAACAATTATTAATGAGATATTTTACATTATTTTTGCCTATTAATTCTTTGAAATATAGCTTGTGTTTTACACTTATGCACGTCAAAATTCAAACACTAAATTTTTATCAGAAAAACTGACCCATGTTTAGATTTTTTTAACTTTTTTTTTAATTGTTGTTCAGTTACAGTTGTCCCACAGTTTTTCCGTTAGTCTCCCCTGCCCTGCCCCGGCCCCTCCCCCCACCACAGTCATTTCCCCTGCCCCCCCCCCCCCCCCGCTGTTGTCTGTGCCCATGGGTCCTCTATACATGTCCCTTGACTTGCCCCTTCTCCTTCTTTCTCTGTTATGCCCCTCTCGCCTCCCCTCTGGTCACTGTCAGTTTGTTCCTTATTTCCATGTCTCTGGTTATCTTTTGCTCCTTTTTTTGTTTTGTTGTTTAGGTTCCACTTATAGGTGAGATCATATGGTATTTGTTTTTCATTGCCTGGCTTATTTCACTTAGCATAATATGCTTCTGTTCCATCCATGCCATCTCCAAGGGTAGGAGCTCCTTCTTTCTCTCTGCTGTGTCGTATTCCATTGTGTAAATGTACAACAGTTTTTTATTCCACTCATTTACTGATGGGCAGCTATGTTTAGATTTTATAAATTTTTATAGATGATATAGTATATTCACATACCCAAGTTGTTCCAAACATATTTAAAGCTTTTCCAATAATGAATATCAGCTTTTAAATTTTAATTTAAATTAATAAAATTAATAAACCTAAAACTTCAGTCCCTTGGTGGCTCCACACAGATTTTACATGCTCACTAGCTGCATGTGGCTAGCGGCACGAGTGTAGGCGGTGGGGGAAGATATTCCTACTTTCATGGTCATGTGCACTTACTTTGCTTTAAAGCAAACAGCTAGTCACCAATTCATACAATAAAAAGGCATCAGAATATAGGTAGTCCTCTTGCTCCCCCCTCTCCAGATTAGGGACTGATATTGGAGGAAATGTTGTAGGCTCTAATTATTGGCATATAACTATAAAAATATTTCTCACTTGTCTCTAATCTGGTGGTGGGAGCCTTTGAGAATAAAGATAAAGCTATTTAATGTTCAGAACTGAAGTATTCATTTTTATTACTAGTAATCTAGGTGACTGTTCTCACACCAAAATTAAGGATTAAAAAAATTGCATAAGAACTGACAGGGAAAATATCTTCAATGATGGACGATAAAATAATGTTGGGATTAAAATGTTTTAATAGGAATTTTCATTATGATTGTTTTTTTCCCAGACTGGTCTGATCCAGACTTGGAGGCAACATGGTCACGGATGGTTTATGCCTGAGTTAATTTGCTAATCAGACTTTGTGCTTCCTAGAAGATGTTTAATTATACCATGCTGTGAATATTGGAATCTTAAAACGATCCACGAGGGAAAAGAAATCTTTTGAGGGAAGCCAAAAACACGTCCAAACCAATGAACCAACCAACCAACCAATCAGATAATAACTTCCTACATCTTCCCTTAATAAGTACTTTAAAAATTAAATTTATTGGGGTAACATTACTTCTTAGATAAAGGACTCAGTTGATTACTTAAGATGAAATCTGTTATTTATTTATTCATTTATTTATTTTCAAGGAATGGAAAATATAGTTACTTGTACTTTAATGGAAAGTAGTAATGTGTTGTGACCCAATTTGAGAAATTAAGTTTCTTAAATTTTTTGAAATGTCAGAACAATTTAACTGAGAATACTATCTATAAAAACCTTCATATTCATGTTCACTTATTTGAGCTGCATGTCTGACATTTAACAATGAAAGAATATAATTGACATAAACATTTTAATTTGAGAAGAGAATGAGTTATATGGTAGAAGATTCAGTGTCTTGGTTTTATATCTTTCTCCCAAAACTAACATATGTGTATGGACTTCAATTTTAGCCTAGTTATTCTTATAATATCTTGATGAGAAGTTTTTTTTTTTTTTGCTTTGTTTTACAGTTATTATTTTAGACCTGCTAGATGGTCATGCCAATTTTTTTTTTTTAAAAACTCTTACTGAGATACCTGTGGTAATTAGAAGAATGTTGTGAGCATTGATATTTTTTTTTCCTGATTTCACAGTGATGATCTTTCTTTCGTCAATCATTATCCTTCAAGTGATTTAGAAACATTAACTAATTTACCCTCTCAAGTGTCCTGGGAGTTATATCATAATTAACATATTTCAGAGACAGAAATCTGATATTATATGAGTTTCTTAAGGCCAGAGATTAGAGTCTCTGGACGAATGGACCTAGAATTTTAAGTTGATATTGGTTTCACTGCTGGTCTACACAGCTTTAATTTTGCTGAAAAGGAACATATTCCTCCTGTCAATTTCAGGAAAGGTTTGATCATTAACTTTTCCCTTTTATTGCACAAAATACCATGGTTTCAATTTGAGATATTTTTAACTAAGTGTATTTTTTTCCTTTTACTTATTTTTTAAAATAAATTTTATTGATTATGCTATTATAGTTGTCCTATTTTTTTTCTCCCTTGTATTCTCCTCCACCTTGCACCCAACCTCTACCAGCATTCCTATCCGCTTAGTTTATGTCCATGGGTCATACATATAAGTTGTTTGGCTTCTCCATTTCCTATACTATTCTTAACCTCTCCCTGTCTATTTTGTACCTACCATTTATACTTCTTATTCCCTGTACCTTTTCCCCCATCCTCCCCTTCCCCCTCCCCACTGATACCCTTCCATGTGATCTTCATTTCTGTGATTCTGCTTCTGTTCTAGTTGTTTGCTTAGTTTGTTTTTGTTTTTGTATTAGATTCAGTTGTTGATAGTTATGAATTGTCATTTTACTATTTATAGTTTTGATTTTCTTCTTTTTCTTAGATAAGTCCTTTTAGCATTTCATATAATAAAGGGCTTGGTGATGATGAACTCCTGTAACTTTACCATATCTGGGAAGCACTTTATCTCCCCTATTATTCTAAATGATAGCTTTGCTGGACAGAGTAATCCTGGATGTAGGTCCTTGCTTTGCATGACTTTTAATATTTCTTTCTAGCTCCTTCTTGCCTGTAAGGTTTCTTTTGAGAAATCAGCTGATGGTCTTACTGGAACTCCTTTATAGGTAAATGTCTCCTTTTCTCTTGCTGCTTTTAAGATTCTCTTATCTTTAATCTTGGGTAATATAATCATGATGTGCCTTGGTGTGTACTTCCTTGGTTACAACTTGTTTGGGACTCTCTGAGCTTCCTGGACTTCCTGGAAGTCTGTTTCCTTTGCTAGCTCGAGGCAGTTCTCCTTCATTATATTTTCAAACAAGTTTTCAGTTTCTTGCTCTTCCTTTTCTCCTCCTGGCACCCCTATGACTCAGATGTTGGAATGTTTAAAGTTGTCCCAGAGGTTCCTAATACTTTCCTTATTTTTTTGAATTTTTGTTTCTTCATTCTGTTCCGGTTGAATGTTTATTTCCTCCTTCTGCTCCAAGTTGTTGATTTGAGACCTGGTTTCCTTCCCTTCACCCTTTGTTCCCTGTGTATTTTTCTTTATTTCACTTAGCATAGTCTTCACTTTTTCCTCTATTTTGTGACCATGCTCAACCATTTCTTTGAGCATCGTGATTACCAGTGTTTTGAACTGTGAATCTGAGAGGTTGGCTATCTCTTCATTGCTTAGTTGTATTTTTTCTGGAATTTTGATCTGTTCTTTCATTTGATTATTCTTCCATATTTCTTTGTCTTGGTGCTCCTCTTACGTTGTAATGGGTGGAGCCTTAGGTATTCACCAAGGCAGAGCAGCTCTCATGGCTGTGTTGTGGCACTGTATGTGGGGGAAGGGGTCAGGGAGGGAACAATGGCATTTGTTAGGCTATCACCCCTGCTTTCAGTCACCTCCCCTGCTACCCACAAGCAAATTGGGCCCTTCTGTGCTGATTCCTGGGTGGGTGAGTTTGTGTACGTTTAGGACCCTGTGGGTCTCTCCAACAGACTCTCCTTTGAGGCTGGGAGTTTCTCCTGCTGCCACAACCCCCACAGGTTT